GGGGGGGGTATCACCATCAAACAAAAATTTAATAAATATTCTGTTTAATAGTTTAAATTTAAACAGTGTTCCATTCGTTAAACCCCGCGGTTTTTAATATGGCAACAGGATTAAACATATTTTTGATAACTGCGAAATAGGGTTCGGAAGCAATAAGCGTCAACAAGAAACGTGAAATGCATTGTGAAATACGTCTCTTAACAGCGACAGCACACCTATGCACATCGCATCCCACATATGCGCCTAAACGCCTATGAAGAGACAGGCGCGCACACGCACACATGTAGGACCGAGATAATACAAGCGCGCAATCGCGCAAGGGTACATGCAGCCTCCTTCGCAGGCGTTCAACGCACCGTGTGTCAAGTGAGTGGATTTACCAACGCTAATATCCAATTGTCTCTTATCCTTTTTTAACCAACGCTAGCCAACTCAATAAAGGCTGGTAGAGGCGCGCAAGATTGGGAATTTAAATTCCTCGTCCCTTCCGTAGCCGATTGTTCCATCAGCCAATTAATTAGTCGCTACTAACTATCTATCTCTTCTTTCGCGTTTCTCTGAAATTATCGGACGGGAAACAACTAGCTCTCTCTCTCTCTCTCTCTCTCTCTCCTGTCATACCCCCATTCCTCCTCTCACTTATCTCACGCGAGCACATAAACAAACCAATTTGCTCGTATCATCCTCGCTCGCCCTCACTTCTCGCTCACAAATTTTTATCTGACATCCTGAATAAACGCACGACAGATAAACATGCCCCTCACGCTATTACACGTAAATAAAAATACTTATACGCACATTTTGAGGTTAGGAGCGCATCGCCTCACGACCTCTCCCCCGAAGCGCACTCGTCAAAACGAGCTTTTCAGAACACTGGCGACGTACGGTGGATCCCAAAATTCACTTCGACTCCGCCGCCCCTGCGAAAGGGAAGCTCCTTCGCTGCTGGATCCTCGGCCGGGGATGCGGAACGATGGAGTGGAGAGGCTCGGAGCGTTCCCGGGGCCCGGGACAACGCGACGCACGCACTGGCTGAATTACAATCGCACTACCGCGCACATTACCTGGGATACGTCCATGACATCGGTTGATTAAACAACTGCTGGTGGTGTAGCGAGCGCAACAGGGCAACTGCCAACCGCTCATCCGTTCATCCGCTGATAGCTCCGCGCCCTGATGTGAGCATCAAGCCAGGAGAGTAGTGGGACTGGTTGGTCAGTCGCCATCGATGGCTGTCTTTCACGCTTAAGGAGGATAAAGAGGGAAAGGAATGCGGCAGCAGCAGTTCTCTTCTCCCCCTCGCCTTCCGCCCTCCACGCCCCACCACCTCCCTCCCGCGTTTCCACCGCTCCCCACCAGCGCCCATCGGCCCCACTCTCGTCCGCGCCGCGCCATCGCCACACACACGCAACACGCACACTCGCCCGATCTCTATCTCTCTCTATCTCTCGTTTACCACGTCTACCCGCTCGCTCTCCTCTCTGGCCCGCTCGTCATCGCGATCTCCCATTCTCACACTCCCAATCTATCTCGTAAAGTCCTCTTCCGTGCAGGGCGTAGTTTTGCCTCTGCGTACGCGCGCGCGAGCGTGTGGATGGATCTCTGGCATCTGTCGTTTCCTCGCGCCTGTTACGTTTGACATGTTGAGTCGCGAAGCTGCTTCAAGCATTTCTATGTTAATCGAATGTTAAAACAAGCTGCAACAAACGGTAGCCGCAACTTTTACCAACAATTTACCTCTTTAAATATTCAATTCAATTACTTTTTGTCGTCGTTAACGACATTATTTATCATTGTCGAGAAAGAGTACGTTGCTCAATCTGGAAATTAACCATTTATTGTAAAAGTGCACACGAAGAGCTAGAATCGCTAATGTTACTTTTTCTCTTTTTTTCTTTTTTTTTAATCAAGCAATTGATACTCGATATGTGCAATTCATGCACAAAGTATGCGCGCGCGCACGCGCGCCTACACACGCACACACGGGCGCGCAATCGGTTGTATTTACGCAGACGAATGTAATGATACAAGTGCATAGGCAAAATCACATTTAAATATAACCATTTGAAATGAAATTTTATATATCTACTTTATGCAATACAAGACATTTGGGTTTGCATATTTTTAATTTACAATATGTACGTCTACGCGTTACGTAATATGCGCAGGCTAACGTAATAATTGTATCAAATTTTTTCAAAACTATCATGATTTCAAGAATCTTTTCAAATTTCTTTAACTTTTAACCAAAGTCTATTTTAAGTTACTTCAACTTTTTATTTTACTAGCTTTTATCTTGTAATTTATTAACATTTTTCTTATTCGTCGTATTTATAATTATTTATTTTAACATTATAAAGCGTATTATTGTTATTGTTATTGTAATGCAATTTATACGATTTTGTTGTAGTGTGTTTGAATTGAATTTGAAGACGCATTGAACAGTAAAGATCAATTTTTAATGATCGTTACGCCTAATGACGTAAACTTGAAAAGTAACGTATCGGGTTTATTGACCCTTATATTTGTAAAATATTCCATTTTTTTTTTTTTTTTTACAATACTTGCTTGTATAAATGATTTAGTAAACTAAAAGATTGAATAATTTTCAATTATAATTTTTTTCAAATAAAAAGCAAATGTTGCTAATTGCACTAATTAAACACAGACGAATCTGTTTATTCGAATAAATTTCATAAGAATACGACAATCTCTATTAGCATGATAAATCATTTAATGTATGAATGCTTTTTATACACTTGAGTTAATTTTCGTAAACCAAAATATTAATATTTAATAAGTACTTGATAAGATTTCAGTAGATGTGTTGTTTATTATACTCTCTCTCTCTCTCTCTCTCTCTCTCTCTCTCTCTCTCTCTTTGACATTAACCTCGCGGTGCTATTAAAACAATTTCGGATAAAAAATAATTCAATCTCAGCTATTGGAAAATTACTTTTCTCTTTATTAATGAAATGTTTCAAATATATTTTAATATTAATTCCAACTACATTAGAAAACTGTTACACAACTTTTATAATTTAAAAATGTAACGTGCAGGAATATCATAAATCAAGCAATCCATTCAATTTCATCGTGTAGATATTAAATAATATTAAACAAGCAATCATTTATTGTATAAATTTGAAATTGTTTTGTACAACTGCAGCCGAGCGAATAGCTTTCATAAATATAATGTCACTTTAAATGTTATTTGTATCTAAAAAGTTCAGTAAGCCGCAACTTTATTGATTTTTAAAACAATATTAGATTTTAATAATATTGTGAATATACTACATATTATTAAATAATCCGTCAAGTAATTAATATGGAAAAGATTAAATTATATTGTATTGTATCTCTTAACATATATTATTATGTAGTGATTGAAAACTTTAGTCTATTTTTCTCTTGAACTATCATTCTTTTTCTTTTTTAAAACGCAATTAATTTCTCATAAACGTCATATTACAGTATTCATCTAATTGTATTCAACTAAATTTCATTTGTGTTTTATTTCCTTTTATTATTATTTCGAAGCAAAATAGGCATAATATTCTTTTGAATTTGTATTCTTATATTTTCTTCTCATGATAATATTCAATAAAATATTATATTCTATTATTGTAAATCATTAAAATAAAATATATTTTACTTTTATTATTATAATATTGTAATATTACTTTATCAATATATATATATATATATATATATATATATATATACGCAATTTATATTAATTCATCTTTATTGAGAATCGTTTATTTTTCAAGTTTGTACAGCTTTTTCATCTTATTGTTGAAAAATTCATTAAAATACATCAATGCCATCAATTCAAACGTGATTTGAATAATTATGTTCAATTTAATTACTTGTTTATCGTAATTCTTCTTTTATATTGTCTATTTGGTTACTTTTCAATTATAACATTTAATCTTAAACAGCTCCATAAATTGTGCATATATTTTTTTCATTTTAACATTAGAATTTATAATATATTACTTTATATATGTTAGCATTTATTATTATTTTTTGTTTTATTTATTATATTGCATCATTTTTTTCTTTCAAAAAAGGACAAAAAAGTTTCAAAACAATATTTTGTTTACACGTATATTATTTACACATATATTTCATCTACAATAGAGTAAAATAAAATAATAAGTAAAAAGAAATGGTAAGAAAATACTAAAAACATTGCTAAAATAGTCAATAATAGATATTTATAAATAGAAAAAAGGGCTTTTAAGCAAAGACTTCATTATGCTAGAAAGACAATAGATTTTTTTTATTATATAATATATATTCGGTGAAAAGTATTTATATCATGAAAACATTAAATATCACACATTATTAATATATTATTGGATTTTTCTTACAATGTCATAATAAATATACATAATCAAACTTATATAATAGAATTACACATATTAATATTAACTTTATATATCATAATAAAACATAATAACATTAATTTATTAATAAGATCATCATTCATGTCATACTATTTACGACAATAATCTTTGTATTAATAAGAAAATTCAGAGCGACAATTTATCATTTTTATGTTTCGATATTGACTAGAAGTTGATTCGATTAATTATACAGTGCCTACACACATTATACACTTAAATTGAAATATTTAAAAAATTTAATTTCCTATTTTTAAGATTTATTTAATCGTGCATAGTCAATGCAGGAAAAATTATTAAAATATTGATAAGAAACTGATTCTTCCTAGTCGGATGTTTAATTAATTAATGTAAAATTCGATAAATAATATATTATTCTACGTTTGAAACGATATGTTTGAATTAGTGGAAATTTTATGAATTAAAAAATTCAAATAAAATGATTATCAATTGAAAATCATACAATTGTATACGTTGCTTTTCAACCGAGAACTATGATAATGTTACAACTAATATTAAAATAGTACGGGTAAATTAATAATATATTGTGGCATGTGCATTGTTGTAGTGCAGAAGTAAAGAGAAAGGATCGTGAGGATATTTATGTATTCCAATATTCAGTTTACAGAGTACTAGTACATTAGATTGTTGTGACGCAAGAACAATAAAACCTGAGCTTCTATTTAAAATTGCAATAATCCCTGTTTTTTTTTTTTTTTTTTTTTTTTAATGATAATAACCAAAGGCAAATAATATAATATAAAGTGAATTAAATTTGATATGTATAAAATGTCTATTATAAAAGCTTAATTTTTCATAATTTACGAGAAAATCTATTTCATATATATATATATATATATATATATATATATTATATTCTTGCTGTCACATCAATTATTCATGAAACGATCGATCACGTATCTCATATTCATTGTAATATTACATATCTCATACTACTACAGATCAAAAATTGCTGTTTGCACATTTTTTTACTGGCTATAATCGAAGATCCAGAATTGATCGAGTAGCATCGGAATTGTAAGACTAACTACTAATATATATATTCCAGCTTAATCGACTGAAAATTTGTTTAAATCAATCATGTATTATTCTCACAATACTTTTTAAGTATAACACGTGTGTTAAAAAAAAAATTTATGACTAAACTAATACATGAATGTATAGTATTTATAATTCCAGGTATTTGTTTATTCCACTCACTATATGTCTATGTAGAATAGATCAATTTTATTATGTATAAGAATAATGTTGTTTTTTCATTTGTCATAAAATATTAGTTTAATATTAATATTAAAATATTAGTAAAATCTTAATATTTTACCTTTTTAATATTAGTAACTTTCAGGATATTCGGCGCAAAAATAATGTCAAATTATAAATAATACGTTAATCGTGACAAACTAGTAGTTATCTTACAATAAAGTAATGAAAATATAGAATTTATGATCATACTTATACATGAGACACAATAATGTTAGATATTATATTATAAATTTATTATGTATAGCGTGTGATAAAAGTTAACATTAGTTTATAATCTTATGTATTAATAGTTATTTTTATTTTTTTTAATTTATTTTAATCAATGGTTTTTTTAATTTATATATTGAAACATTACGATCACCGAACTATTAATTGTTTTCAACTTATACGTTGAATAGGCATGCAAAATGATTTAGATAATTATATACAAATTTGGCTTAA